TTTCCCCACTTGACTCTGAGCCCTTGGGAATAGAATGGGTCTTATTCACTATTGTGTCCCCAGGGCCTACTGCAGCAGAGGTTCCATGGTGCTGGGAGCATTGCTCTGGGTGAGGGAGCAGGTCTCAGACCTAGCAATGGTTCATCCACTCAGAGCCTCAACCCACATGGTCTCCACTTCCAAAGTTCACACCAGGCTTCCTGCCAAGGCCCGTCTCCCCATTGTGTTGTTCACTGCCATGCTCAGAGATATCCCCTGCACTCAATTATGTTTCTGCAAGCCCCCATCAAGGTCACACTCTCCAGATCTAGTGTGCCATCGTAGACTGCTATGGTTGCCTCAGGCCCCTCCACCCCTACCCCTGTCCCCTGCGGCCTTCCTCTACCCTAGCAATGGTTCATCCACTCAGAGCCTCAACCCACATGGTCTCCACTTCCAAAGTTCACACCAGGCTTCCTGCCAAGGCCCGTCTCCCCATTGTGTTGTTCACTGCCATGCTCAGAGATATCCCCTGAACTCAATTATGTTTCTGCAAGCCCCTATCAAGGTCACACTCTCCAGATCTAGTGTGCCATCATAGACTGCTATGGTTGCCTCAGGCCCCTCCACCCCTACCCCTGTCCCCTGCGGCCTTCCTCTACCTGGCAGGGGTTACCTGCAAGCCCATCTGGGCCCCAACACAGGTACCTGAGCTTTTAGAGACACCCCTCTGCCCAGGGTGAGAATCATCATGAAATCACTTTCTGGAGTCTCTAGGACTATTGAAGAAGTCACAATGAAGTGTGTGGGGGTGGAGCACGCTGCTTAATAGAATATTTTTGGTTTTGTTATTGTTTTTACTTAGTTTTAAATTTTTTATGTGTATGAGTGTTCTGCCTGCATGTATGTAGGTGTACCATGTGCATGCAGTACTCACGGAGGCCAGAAGAGGTAATTGAATCCCCTGGAACTGAGTTATGGACAGTTGTTATCTTCCATGTGGGTCCTGGTAACAGAACCCAGGTCCTCTGCAAGAGCAGTCAG